GAGATCTGAGGTTTTAAACTGAGTCAGGAACCCATTTTTCAGCATACAGGAAGGAGCTGAAACCTAACTCCTGAGGTTTGGACTTAAGACTGGGGAGATGTCAGGGAAAATCCCCAATGCTTTTAGCAGGGTAACACAAGAAAATTTTAGATGTGAGCAGAAACTAACCCTTCCTTGCCCTGTGTTTTGGTGGTGATTTGTCACCGTATCCTCGCTCTGCTCTCAAGGATGTACAAACGAGACAGTGGGGGCAAAGGCAGATGGTGAAGCACAGAGCTGGAAAGCAGCACATCTTCCCCAAGCACACTCAGCAAGTCCAAGCCAGGAGGAAGGACAGGGAATGAAAATGCATCCATCCAACTCCCTTTGCCATTTGGTTGACAAATCTAAACTCAACCCCAAGCCAAACATCTTTCTCTGCAAGCTCAGTTGTTGCTTGGGCAAACAGAGCCTGTGTCATAAGAAGGAGCTGAAGGGGTCAAGGAGAGGTTTGAGAGACTGCCCCTGGGCAATTATTTACAGCTTTTTATCAGTCTCTGAGCTTTCAAGGTCTCTAAAGCTTATCACAAACATAGGAAATGACTTGTCAAGCTATTCCTGTCCTGGGGGAGGTTAAAAGACAGGAGAGATGTGCCACACAACATGACTCCTGCACCAGGGAGGATGGCAGCTGATTCATTTGTCCCTATGCCTCTGGCCCCTCTGCCACACCACAGATCTCCTTCAGCAGCCACTCAACCACAAGTCCAAGCAGAAGCTCAGTTCTGCTGAGAAGACATCATGCTTCAGCCAACAAGCATGAAGCAAAGCTTCCCAACAACAACCCAGGTTTGGAGGATGTGTTCTGCAGTGAGAGATGTATGGAGTTCAGCCTACTTAAAGCAGCAGAAATTAAGAAGCAACTTCTTTCTGGGTCTATAAATGCCTCTCCAAACAGCAGAGATTGGATACTAGATGACTTCTTAATCTAGCAGACAGAGGTAGAAAAGCGTCTAAGGGCTGGAAGGTGAAACAGCACTAACAAAACAGAAATGAAGTGATAAGCATGTATGAGGAAGGAGGCTCTGCATTTGTTCAGAGCAATGGGGACAGAAAACCAATGGAAAAGTTTATCAGGAAAGGCAGGAAAACCCCAGAACTTTATCAATATCTTGATTCAGACTTTTGAGAACTAAGAAGCTTCATTTAAATCTCGGTTTCTTTGGTGAAGTGAATTTGTGAAATTCTCTGGCCAAGAAATGAAACCCATCAGACTCATTCGTCATAAAAATCCCTCCAGCCCTGGAGCCATCTACTTTACCAAGGAGCAAATAATGTATTTCAGGGGCACACATTTAACCCTGTTTTGCAGTCATCATCCCTCTGAGATGAGGATATAAAGAGCAGAAAGACCAGACCATATTGGTTATCTCTTTTGGCCACCAAAATGTGACAGCACTGCAGTGGCCTTCCAGGAACAGATTATGTGGAGACAAGAGTAATTAGACATTCATTAAGTGCCTAACTCAGCACAGCACTTAAGCACACATTTAACCTTCTCTCATTACAGTGTCACATCAGTGTTCCTTTTAAAACTCCAGCTCTGATTACAGAGAAGCCAGCTCACATTTGAGAGGGTCACCAGGATTTTCAGACCATGAAGTCCCAACACACCGTCTTTCAGGAAGTTTTCTTATCTTCAGTCCCCTGGTCTCCTACCCCAAACAAGTGTGGGAGCTTATTCCAAGAATGCCAACTTGCATTTCTAAAAGAGAGTTCAACTCTGAACATCAGGTCCTACAGCCACTCTATCCCTTCTTCCCATGTTGTCTGAGTAAACAAAGGAAGATCTGATGCTGGCCAAAAATAGTTTCCATGTTGAATTGTCTTCTCCTAGAAAAAAATCCACTGTTCAAGCCTTCCTGGAGTAGCAGTTGGAGGTGGCTGCAGCAAGCATGGGAGATGTGAGGGATGGGCTGCTGCTGCCAGCACATTTCAAACCATGTCTTGCTGATCACCAGGATGAGCTCTGTGTGCAACAAGACACTGAAATATCCCCTGCTACCTCTGCATCCTGACAGATTCTTCCCACCCCCACCACCACCCTCTGTAACCTCTGCAGTGTCTGCGTGGGATCGCAAGTGCAAAGAGGGTGTCTCACCAAACCCAGGAAGCAAATTTGGAGCAGTCTCTCCTACTTCCAGACACTGAAGAACAGATGCTGTAGACAAGGCAGGGTCACTTCGGCAGAGTTACTTTATGAAGTCCTTCATAAATGACCACAAACATCCTTATATACCTGAACTGAGTGTAAACTCATTGGCCATGAGTAAAGTCAGGCTGCCAGTTAGGCTTTTTGAGTGTCCCAGTAGCTCTGGAGTAGTGTGCCCACTTCTCAGCAGTGGCCAGGAGATCTATGATCTGGCTCAGTAGCAGAAGCTCATCCTCCAGCTCTGCTCATCAGCCATCAAAGCCAATGTACAGCCCACCAGTTCTATTCTCAGCCTGCTCTTGAGTGTCTTCAGACACCATCTAACCCAGTACACACCCACGTACATACATTCTCCATCCTTTGAAATACCAATGCCCAAGGATGGGGACTGAACCTTTTCAGGGATCTTACTCCACAGACTCTGTGACCAAAAACATGGCTACTTCCAAAGCAGCATTTCCTTGTAGCCTCTGTAGATTTGCACCCACTCATTTGCTTTGGAAATATCCCAGGTATAGAAGAGGGACATCAGGAAAAGTCTGGCTTTACAGTTTTGGGTGGCATCTGGGTATCTGGCAATTCTTTACATGCCTTGAAACTCATCAGACTAGACCATTACAGCACACACATGCGGCTTTGTTCAAAGATGAAAGTGTCGAGACAGGCCCAGAAACAAGAAATTACTCAGGAAACAGCAAAGGGGAAGGGAGTGGGGATAAAGCTTGTAGAAAGAAAAAATGCTACAAACACAATCAGGATAACAATGACAGCAATAATCAGCATCAGTGCTCAGAAATCAGGAAGCTTATCAGAATATTCCACCCACAAAATGCTGCTAAGGGATCGCTGGCTCTCTGTCCAAATTGGATCTCGCCTCCATCTTCCCGAGCAAGCCTTTGCAAAAATCAAAACAGATGCAGTGACAGACAGAGCAGCACATGGAGAGGCCAGGCACCCTGCAAGCGTCGTTTCTATGTAGACGGCATCCCACTAGTGAAGATGATAATTCTGTATCTTCACTATATAGAGCAGATGTGAGCAGCCAGCAAAAAAAAATTATCTATGTTCTCTACAAATATCTGACACGCAAAAAAGGATTTTGATTCAGCCACCTTTGAGCCTCTTTCATATTTATTTTCTGGGAACATTCAAGCACTCAAGCTGGACTAGGAGAGATCTTTACAGAAGCCAATAATAAGCTTGAATGCTTCTGGATTTGCTGAAAATCTTATTTCAAATTTCACCTTTGGATGCAACAAAAAAGGTCGCGCTGCTTGGGTTGAGCGCATAAATCATCCAATCAGCAAATGCAAGGGGTGACACATGACTTAACGAAGCTCGCATCACTCCAAAGAGGCAGCCAACACGGTACTCCTCGCAAGCTGTTCACACGGGAGAAAAGGGCATTGCAAAGAAATCCAAAATCAGGAGAGCGAATATTGCCGTGTGTGCTCATAGCCAGGGAGGGAGGCACAGCTGAAGAACTAATTTGCAGGATTTATGGCTCAGCTCTGCGCCTTCACGTATTGATTCACAGATCAGTGAGGAACAAAGTCTCCCCCAAAATACACTGATGAAAGCACTAATAACTGATCATATACTAATCTCTCGGCTAACGCCAGGCTGCGGTCTGCAAGAAAATCACACTGCACAGCTTGGACCTGTGCCTGGTAACCTTCCCACTGCAAGAAAATTTAGCCTCCTTCCTCCGCAACTTGAGAAAGTCCCCCCTGTTTGGAGGTGGCTCCAAAAGCCAGGCAGGAGCCCCCAAAGCCCAGACTCAGATGGATGCTGACTTTCTCCTGGTGGCAGAGAACATCTCAATCCAGCACCTGAAGAAGATGAGGCCCTGGGTGGTGGTCAGGTGTGGGTCTGAACCTCACCTAATTGGAGGCTTTCCTCCCCACTGCCCAGATTCCTGTTTAACGTCACACCTCTGCTTTACATAACTTGCCTGCTGGCAGGTGGGATGAGAGCTGGGAATAAACACTTCAGAGCGGATCTGACACAGGCACTGAAATAAAGGATTCACTTCCACACCCTCCAATTCCTTTCTGCTTTGCATGGCACTGTAGCATTGGTGGAGACCACGTCAGATCTCTGCAAGGAGCATTCCCTTTCCCATACCAATGCCCAGATCAGACCCCAGGAGCCTCTCACCCTTATTCGTAGCCCCTTTTTCCACCTCCCCAGTCTCTTTCCAGCCCATTTCATACTCAAGAATGTCTTCAAAACACTCATGAAATATCCAAGGAACGAGCCTCAGAAAAGGTACCAAGTAACCCCACAAAAGCAGCATAGTGAGTTTTCTTTTTGAAAGCCTTCAGAAGTAAAATGAATCTAACAAAAGGAGCATGCCTTCTGTTGCCATTCCCTCAAACCAAGCTCGGGAATTAAGTTTTTTTCCCATGAATTAAAATGGTTGACAGGGTTGCTGAGTGCAGCCTGCCTCAGGAGATAGCTTGGATCCTGCCTTTTCTAGGACATCTATAATTATGTTGGAAAACTGCTTGCCCTCAGGTAAGATTCTCCCTTCTGTAGCTCTGAGGATTCAGAAGTAAAACAAGCAAGGCACAAGCCCTGGGAACAAATTGAATGTTTTGGGGTATATCTAGGGGAAGCTGCTTTGCAATTCCAGTTGCAGGCTCATAAAGAGCCACCGAGGGTTACCTGAGCTGCCTATCAATTAGCAAATAAGATTTTTCATACCAGGAACCTGCGGACGTAGACAGAGATGAGATGGGGACAGTATGAGACCAGGCAGAGGAGAGACCAACCAGCCCTCCCTCCCAAACGTCCCACCACTCACCCAGAAACTCTGCTCCGCTGCTGTCCTTGGGGCTGCTCACACAGTTCTCCAAGTAAATCCCATCCTTGTAACAATCTTCCTTCTTCCTCGTGAACCCCAGGATCTCGCTGGCCTGATCTAGGACCTCCCCTCCTGAGCAAGAGCACGGGGTCTGCATAATGCCACATGGGTGAGAGCTGCTGCTGATGGCCAAGCACGCGTCCAGCCACTTGCAGAGCATCTGGCAAGCAGCTTTGCTAGGGTTCCTGTTGCCCACCACCAGGTACTCCACCGAGAAGTCCCTCTCCTGAGCCTTTATGGGTTTCCACCGCACAGGCCAGCTCTCCACTCCCGGTGGCGCCGTCTGCTTCATCTGAAGGAACTGTTTGTTGGACTGGAGGAAGGCATAGCGGGTGGACCCATCACAGAGCTTCAACACATCATCGAAGCTCTCCATGCCCAGGTAGGTGCGGGTGGACTCCAGGAAGGAGTCAAACTGGTAGGTGCGGATGTGCTGGTGGTCACATACGCCAGTAGGTTTTAGGATCTTCATGTACAAAGTGTACCTCCGAGGGTCAGGGTTCTGGATAATCCAAGAGCAGAGAGAGGAGTTCAACGGGAAGACGGCAAAGGAGGAGAAATACCCAAAGAATTTCCCCTGGACCAAAGTGGTACAGGGAGTTTGTGCCAAGTCCAGAGCGACCACGGTCCACACAAAGTAGAGTGGCGATACCAAAAGCAGGTTCAGGGCAGATCCAATGCTCCTCATCCTAGGTCTCTGGTCCTCTGGAACTCAAAGTAAATGTCAAGCAGGCGCCAGATCCTGGACATAACAGGGACCAGCTTAGAGGAAAAGTGAGAGTTTAAGAGGCTCTGAATCTGAAATCAAGCCAATCCTCCCATGTCTGGACTTGAGCTCCCTCCTGTGGCCATAAACAACACCTGGAAAAAAAGGGAAGGGAAGGAGGAAGGGAGAGAAAGAGAAGAGATTTGGGATTTGGTTCTTTTGATGGGGGGGTTGTGTTTTTTATTATTTTTTTTTAATTAGCCCTTTGCAAGGCTGAGAATCCTCATAGCATCCCCAGTCCCAGTAAATCTCACTGAGGGAAGATGCAGCCCCTCATCACCATCCCCATGCTGGGTTTGAGGGTGTTCCCACCCCTGGGATGTCCTAACCCCCAGGAGGATCCCAGCTGTGACTCACAGTTAGGGACAACCAAGCTGAGACCCTGCTTTCCCAGTGCCTCTGCCCATGTTGTGCCTTTCTGCTGAGCTGAGCAGAGCCTTTGCAGTATTTTCTAATCATCTCCCCAAAGCAAACACAGTTGATCTCCTTTTTAGGGATTTTCCAACCCTTTCTATTCCAATGGAGCCAAGATGATGGTTCAATATAGACTTCAGGCTGCACCTGGGGAGGGTGGGCTGAAGTTCAGCATGGGCTGCTGGGTTCTGCCTCCTCTCTTTCTCCTGCCAGCCCTTGTTTTTCTTGTTCTGCCGCTCCTTTTCTCTCTTTTCCCTCCTATTCCACCAAACCAGTGCAGGGGAAGTGATTTTTTTGGTGCCCTAACTGTGGTCTAACCCTATGCCCAGACAGGAGGCCAGGGCTGGAAGGAGCTGTGCACCCAGTACAGAAGGAAAAAAGGATGATAGAGGCAGATTTTGGGTCCTCCCACATCAGGCAGCCACCCCACCTTTCAACCCTATGTGCAGGACACGCCAAAGCCTGCAGTACTGTATCCAGACATAGAGCATCTCCAGAGAATGAAAGTCCTCACTGACAGCCCCAGGACCTCTTTCAGCCCCCAAAGCCCCTTCAGCAAAAGCAACATCCATTCTGCACTGCCCTATGGGACCCATTGCCTGCAACCCTTCGTAGCCCAGATCCCTTTTTTACCCCAGCTGCCCCTTCCACGCCAAAGAAACTTCTGTGCCCTCTGCATCCTTGTAAGTCTTCTTTTTACTCCACCAAGAATACCCTCCTGCGCTCCCTTCCCTCCATCTCCTTCCTCTCCAGGGAAGGGGAAAGAGGGAGAAAGACCATTAGTATCATTGTCTGATATCCCCTCCCCATGCAGTGTGCATCCCCATGTTTGGGGACAGGCCCTGTTAACAGATGTAGGGGTTGACAGGCAGGATGGGCAGACCCTCAGTGCGTGGGGCAGAGCTTCTCCCAGTGCTGGGCATACAGCCATGGCACCTTTTCCTTCTCACACTTCCAGCCCTTTTGGGTCACCCCAGGTAGGGAAAATCTGAAGTTTCCCCTTTGGTGAGACTGCAGTACTTGCTGCCTCCAGAATAGGGCTGCTGCCCAATTTCAGAAGGGCAGATCAGACCTTTGAAGGTTTCCCCTACAAAGTCAGACTTCTGCCTTACTTTCTGGAGTCTCTGTGGTCCACAGGTTAGTGAAAAGCAAGCACTCAGGGCCTCTGTGTTCAAGCCTGAGTGCAAGCAGCCCAAGCCCTAAGATTCTAACACTGTCCTGGGCTGCAACCCCAAAATAATTCAGATCATCCAGGTTATGTTTCTTCATGATCAGGGACCACAGTAGCACTGTCATGAAGGAATTAGGGTGAAAGTCTATGGACAGGTGCAAGGGAGGAGGGGAAAACACATCTTCTCCATCCCTAGTCCTGCCATCTCCCACTCTGCTGCTGCGCTCTGCCTTCCCAGACTGCAAACAGAGGAAGCTTTCACAGCAGCCATACAAATTCCAAGCAAATCTACAATTCAGGCAGATAAATCCAATCCCAAGAGAGACTGAAAAATAAGAGATTAAGCCCATAGACCACCCTGTGCATCTAGGAATAGATAAGAAGCCAAATGCATCTCCACATTCACCCCTTGGTTTCTCTCCTCGCTTTATATCAAAGTTTTATCTCTGCATTTCCCTTTTTCTGCAAAAGCCATTTTTTTCTGGGTAGGAAAGGGTTAGGTAACTCAAAAGTCGATCCACTATTTGCAAACTGTGTTTCATCCCAGCTTCAAATCACTGCAGCCTCTGCCAGCAGGTTCCTGTGTCTGTTAGACCTGACACTAATCAGCATGGAGTCCAAATGCATTTGCACTTAAATTTTTTAGAAGTCAGGTTCCTGCTCCTGACAGTGGTTTGTAGCCTGCAAAGCTCTGCAGTGTAAGCCTCCCTGTGCCAGACTCCTGCCTGCCTTGGGGACCACATTGCAGGAACACAGCCTGCTGAGAGGATGCAAAGCAGCATTTGCTTGCAAGGAAAACCACAGGCATTGACCAAACACCCTATAAATTTCAAGCGAGGTCATCCTGATTAGCAGGAGGGGGTTGCCTGCAAATGGCTGTGAATGCCTTAAATATCAGCTGTGGTAAGTGAAAAGTGCTTGCTTGGCTGAGGCTCCAAAAGGGACTGCTGGGCCTTTACCCTAGGGCAGTGCCTGAGCAGCTGATGGTGTTTGCAAGTGGGGCATAGCCTTTGCAAAGCCAAAGTCTCTTCGACCTTCACACCAATCAGCCAGCCAGGGATGATCTTAACCTCTGGTCCAGCCCGTGAATAAACCTGCCTCTCCCTGTTGGAAGCAGGAGATAGCAGTGCCTCCATAGCAACGAGATGATTAGGAGACAGGGCTTGCGCCGAGATCCTGTCCCTAACTGTGACTTCAGTATGTGGGATTCAGCCCAAGCCTCCTGCCTTCCACAAACCAAATTTTTCTCACACTGGCCAAAACCCTGCTACTGAATGAGGATGCAGTGAGCACAAAGTACATCCTCCCTCCCACTCACCTCACCACCCCTCTCTGGGAAAAGCACCGTAAAAGCCAACAAACTTTAACTAAACAGATCCATTAATGGGATGCACTGTTATGGTCGTTAGGTCTCAAAATTTATTTCCCCTGAATGTAGTCCCATCTGGAAGATATCACCATAAGGAACATAAACATATATTTTTCTCCTTCAACGAATCTTTGCTAAAGTGGGAGTCTTAGAGTAGAAGAAGTGAATGGACAAGCCTCCTTCCAAGCTTAGCGTTTTGGGTCAACATGTATTGGACCTGCTGGGGAGGAAAGATGCTATGGGCAGCTGACTGGCTGCTGTGTTTCACCGAACAGATCTATTCTCTACACTTTAATGCAGCAAAATCCCAGGATAGGGACATATACCATAGGTTGCAGCCTGCAGCTGGGGAGGTGATAATAAATGCATGAAATAACAGATTATTCCAGTGTTGGAGACTACATTCCTATGGTACACAAGCTAATCTGCCCATATTCCCATGGTATTTGCCATCTCACCATGACACCACTGGGCCAGGCATGATTCAGAAACAAAACCCAAGACAGACCTTCACAGCCTAAACAAACCTAGGCAGGGACTGAATCACATGGCACACCTGGTACCTGGCCTGCCCGAGGGGTTTAGGTATCTAGTTTGCACTGGTCCCAGTGAATTATGGAGCCTGAAGAGCCATGGCATGCTCTTTGGTGATGCACCCTATCTTCCTGCAGTAAACCAAGATGATCTGGTTCTGAAGCTGAAGTTTTCCACTGCCCTCATATCCCTGCTCTCTGTGCACATCCCTGTGTCCCAAGCACACCCCACACCCATCCCAGGGATACTGATTGACTTCCAGGGTTGTGTGTGAGCAGGGAAGGATCAGGGCTTCCCCTGACTCTGCCTACAGCTGCCCTGCCTGAATAGCCTCAAATGATGATTCACACTGTCCCCCTAAGAACTTCCAGATGGATAACTCTATATTGTTGTGTCAGACTTTATGACTGAGCCCCAGCATGGGGATTTCAACTCTGCATGAACAGGAGGAACCTGTGAAGTGCAGTCAGTGCTGCAATGTGCCCTGCTTTCCAGGGTTCTCCACTGCGGAAAGACAATCTCCACGGTTGTGCATCTACCACCTTCCTCGGTTGTGCTGGTGACACAGGACTCTTGGTGCAGCAGCCTGGATCTGGCCAATGGAGGGCACTCTTAGACATACTCACCAACCCACACACATGCACACACATTCCGTGGAAAAAAGAGGGGAGAAAAATCAAATTAATGACTTCAGAAAGGGTATCCTTCCCCACTGCTGCCTGTAGAACCTCTCACAACGCCCTCATCCTGATATGCTCCCACTAACTCATCCGTGCCCTAACTCCCCTCTCTCTACCCACCCAGCTCAGATGTGTGATCGTCCGAGATTTACCTCCCTCTGCTTTTCCTTCTCCTGACCTTGGCACATGGCTGACATCCCAGCAGGGTGAAAACCACTCTCATCAAGCTAATCCTCCTTTCCTGGGGCTTCCCATTCCCCTGTAAGAAGTACCCAGATATTGAGCAAACTATCTCCTCTGCCGGAGGCAGAAAATCATCTGGCCCTGAAAAACTCAGTCCCTTGCCACTCTGAGAAAACATGGGAAATGTCCTTATGCACAAGAAACTGCCAGCAGAAAAAAAAATAAATAAATAAAGAAAGAAAATACAGCTCCAAATACTCAGAAATTTTATTTTTGCTACCAAGGAGAGTGAGCAAAGCAGGGTGGAAATGCCTGGAAAAACACAGTGGCGTTTGTGAACAGTCAGCACAGAGAAGAGTCAAGAAGGGCTCAGATCTGTCTGTCCTCTGGCTACAGTGGCTCTGCTGGGCTGCAAGGAGAGGAGTTAGCCCTGCATGGCACCTAGAGGGGGCTGAAGCTTGGACAAATCCTGGAGCAGCACCTCTCCCATAAAATCAGTGCTCAAAATCAGGTTTCTGCTTAAAATTATTTTACTTTTCTTCCTTTTTTTTATGAGTATTTACTTGATTCT